CAAAGAAACATACACACTAACTCCTAATAAAACAAAGAAACATGCACACTAACTCCTAATAAAACAAAGAAACATGCACACTAACTCCTAATAAAACAAAGAAACATACACACTAACTCCTAATAAAACAAAGAAACATACACACTAGCTCCTAATAAAACAGATACAAGTAGCTCATAGATACAATATGGAGAGACGTGTGAAAAGCCAAGTCACAGATTTCATCTTGTTAGATATAAAAAACACAACTGTAGCATATGTTTTTAACAACAAGCAATGCTTCAAGCCGTTTAGCCTAAGAATCGTATGAAGTTCAGCTCATGTTGAAAATGTCAAATTATCAAAAGCAAAAAACTTCGAAACAATTCCTAAGTTTTGGTATTTACAATTACAAAAAGTGACTGAAGACGTAGCAAACTCCAATTATCGTAAACAAGGACTTGAAACTCGGAAATCTACAGTAGGCAGACTGAAGAGACGGCAAATACCACCCATTATAAAGATTTTTACAACGACAAAAATAAGGAAGATATCGAAACGATATTTTTACAACGATAAAAACAAAGGAAGATATCGAAACAATATTTTTACAACGATAAAAACAAGAAAGATGTCGAAACGATATTTTTACAACGACAAAAACCAAGGAAAATATCGAAACAATATTTTTACAACGACAAAAGCCAAGGAAGATATCGAAACAATATTTTTACAACGACAAAACAAAGGAAGATATCGAAACGATATTTTTACAACAACAAAAAACAAGGAAGATATCGAAACAATATTTTTACAACGACACAAACAAAGGAAGATATCGAAACGATATTTTTACAACGACACAAACAAAGGAAGATATCGAAACGATATTTTTACAACAAAAAATAAAGGAAGATATCGAAACGATATTTTTACAACAAAAAATAAAGAAAGATATCGAAATGATTATTGAAACACCACCTATTATAAAAGTAAAATTACGCAAAATAACGGGAACATTTACTATATTAAATGTTTTAAGATTGGAAATTCAGAAGATGCCACAAACATTACCAGTCTTTAGAAAGGACAGATGGCAACGTTCTTTGTCATGTCTGCCATGTTCAGCATGACAAACTGTTTCCGTGACAACATCTATAAATTTCTACCTTTGAAAATTTTGTTTTTGCGCTCACTTACTGAAAGTTTCATGATTAATTTAAGCTCGCGTTCATATTATTTATTCATTTTAAATTTGCTTTGAAATATATCTAATTCTCCAGATAACAGCCCGTGCTTTATTTATAAGCATGCCAGGTGGTCTAAAATACCAGTAACTCACTTACTATGGCTGCCTTACCGCCAGCGGGGGTAGCCGTTTCGACGTTTATTAGTGAAATTCGTGCTTCCTTCAAATTAGCTTGAGCTGGCACAGTTTTGGCTAGTTAGGGTAATTCTGTTTACATATTGCGTTTGATTTATAGTAACTGTTGCACAAGAAGTACATATCCTTCTGTATAAAATATTACTTTTCTATTTTGGTATATTTTCTATGCATTTCTATTATAAATATATAAGTGCAAGGAAAATTAAGCATAGTGATTGATTCGTGCACCGTACTTTAAGCGGCACAATATACATGATGACTAAAATATTCCAGATCTGTTACCAGTACGCACAATATACACCTTTCTATATAGAGAATATATAGATAGCTGTGTTACACACTTAAGTCATATCAATTATGATCTTTAACACACCTTTCTATATAGAGAATATATATATTGCTGTGTTTCACACTTAAGTCATGTCGATTATGATCTTTAACACACCTTTCTATATAGAGAATATATATAGATTGCTGTGTTTCACACTTAAGTCATGTCGATTATGATCTTTAACACACCTTTCTATATAGA